GTGACCAAAAGTATCTTGGGAAGGAAAGAGTTTATTTCATCTTACACTTCCACAACGTAGACCATCACTGAGAGAAGTTGGGGAAGAAACTTAAGGCAGGAACTTGAGGCAGGAAGTGAAGCAGAGGCTGGGGAGGAGTACTGCTTATTGGCTGGGTCCTCAATACCTGCCCAGCCTGCTTTCTTACACAAGTCTGGACCACATGCACAGGAGTGGTACTACCCACAAGGGTCTGGGCCCTTCCACATTAGTCATTAATCCAGAAAGTGCCCCAAAGACTTACCTACAGGCAATCTGGATGGAGGTATTTTCTTCAACTAAAGTTCCTCTTTCCCAGATTACACTAGCTTGTGTTAGATTGACATAAAACAAACAAGCAAATTAACAAAAATCCAACCCTTGTCACACTGACACACAAACACATCACTATTAAACCATTACTTTTCCTTTCTTGTTCCCAAGTCATCATTAATATGACAATATAAAGCATTCCAAGTTTTAGAAGTCTCACAGTCTTTAAAATTTTTAATACTTAAAAGTCTACAGTCTTTAAAATATTCAAGATCTCTCTAGAAAATCAAGTTATACAATTCTGAAGTCTCTCTGAAACTTCAAAATCTCTCTAAAATTACCAACTTTCTCTAAAATATCCAAGGTCTCATAATTGTGGATTTCTGTAAAATCAAAAAAAGTTAAGTATTTTCTTATTCCAAGAGTGAATAAACAGGGCACAGTCATGAACCAAAGTCATGAAACCAAAGTATGACAGTGTGAAGCTCAGTGTCTGACATCTGGGACTCATGATCTTCTGGGACCCAAAGGCTTGAGCAGCTGCAGGTCTCTGGCTCTGCCATCCACAGTGTGTATAGCTTGTCTCACAGGCTCAGGTGGGCTCCACTTCTGCTGTTGTTAGTGGTCCTCTCATGGTACTGGCATCTCCAAAATGCTGGTGTTTCCACTGTACCTGGGTTTCAGCTTCACCAGTAGCATCTCCTGGGCTCTCTTCAGGATCTTTGGCCTGCTACATGGTGCCAAGCCTCAACTCTCCATGACCACTCCAATCTTTGGGATTTTACTGCAAGGGAGCTTCACTTTCACCAATGGCTTCTCCTGGGCTCTCTTCAGGGTCTCTGGCCTGCCACATGGTGCCAAGCCTCAACTTTTCTCCATGACCACTCCAGTCCTGGCGCTTCTATTGTAACGAGGCTTCACTTTCACCAACGGCCTCTCCTACTTCTCACAATGCCAAGCCTCAGCTGTTCTCCACAAGCCTTCAAAAACAGGAACCTTCTGGGAGACTGTTATATATCTGCAAGAGCAGCTGCCAGCATGAGGTACATCCTTGGCTGCCTCTGGGATACAGCTGCTGTGTGCTGACCTGAGGAAGCACTTCACAGAAGATGTCACCTCAGCGATGCTGGTCTCCTGTAAATCACAGCTGATTCTTCAGCCCCAGTTGACTAGTACTGATCGTGCCAGCAAAGAACAACTTTAATGGTTCTGGTCTTCTGTTTATCACAGTTCAGCCCAAACTGACCCAGGGCCACAGGTTCTTAAGTCTTAAAATACTGAGTGACCCTGATAAACCTTTAAGGGACACTCAAACCTCTCTCCGAAACATCACCATCCAGGACTTTATCATTGGCATATTCTCAGCGTTATCTTCTAAGTTCTCACAATAGCTCATTAAATGCTGGTCACTCAGTGGCTTTTCTAGCACAAAATTCCAAAGTCTTCCCACAATCTTCCCCCAAACACATGATCTGGTCTTTCACAGCAATACCCCATGCCTTGGTACTAATGTCTGTCTCATTAGGGTTTCTATTGCTGTGATAAAACACCATGACCAGCTGGGCGTTGGTGGTGCACGCCTTTAATCCCAGCACCCAGGAGGCAGAGGCAGGCAGATCTCTGTGAGTTCGAGGCCAGCCTGGTCTCCAGAGCGAGTGCCAGGACAGGCTCCAAAGCTACACAGAGAAACCCTGTCTCGAAAAACCAAACAACAACAACAACAACAACAACAAACAAACAAAAACACCATGACCAAAGGCAACTTTGGGAGGAAAGGGTTTGTTTCATCTTACACTTCCACATCATAACTCAGGGAGGAAACTCAAGGCAGGAACCTGGAGGTAGGAACTGAAGCAGACGTCATGGAGGAGAGCTGCTTACTGGCTTGGTCCTAATGACTTGCTCAGCCTGTATAAACAAGTGAGGACCACCTGCCCACGAGTGGCACCACTCAAAATGTGATGGACCTTGAGAGGTCCATTGTGTGTGTGTGTGTGTGTGTGTGTGTGTGTGTGTGTGTGTGTCTCACAGACTGCCTACAGGTAGTCTGGATGAAGATTTCCTTAAAGGAGGTTCCTCTTTCCAGATAACTCTAGCTTATGTCAAGTTGACAAAAACCCAGCCTGGATAGATGGAATATCACTTTGTAGCTCAGGCTAGCCTGAAGCTGACTGTACCCTACTATTATTCCCCTACTTACTGAGTGCTGAGATTAGAGACATGCCTAGCTCAGACCAGGATTTAAACATTAATGAGGCAAGAGGGATGAGCATGTAGATAATTAGACATGACTGCTTGTTGACCCTTTGCTGGGAGCTTTGACAGAGCTTTCTGTTCCTGTGTGCCCTGAACTTTACACCCATTGGCAAGTTCCCCATGAAGTACCTTCACAGTAGCACAGCGGCCCCTCCCTGATCTAGAGGCCAGTCTTGTGTGTCTGATGAAAGATGTCTGTGGATGTTTCTAACAGTCTCCATCCTCCCTCCCCCGGCTCCCTTTCCCCATCTCCTCTCTCTTGTCCAGAGTTGTTCTGTTTGACTATGGACTCTGGAACAATGCCACACAGCCCTAGATAGAGATGGATACCATGTGCTTGGTGTATTCAATTTCTATCAAATGCACTAGAAATTAAAACACAAACATGCAACTATTAGATGGCTTTGAGAGATTATCAGAGGACCAACCTGGCTATTACTTTTGAATTTGCATTGTAGAGCAGTTGTATATTTGTCTTTAGGAAAATGTTATCATTTTCCTAAAATGTTACAGATAGGAAAATGTTATCAGATAGCGCTTCATTCTTCCATTTGCCAGTTTCTCTGTCCTCTCACTATTGCCTCTAGTTTTCTTTCTGACTGAAGGATATTTCTTGGTCCTAGACTACATGGCTGTGAGAATGGCTTTGTATCATCCTTCTGCTGATTTTCCCTGATTATAAAATGACTGCATGGTAGGAGAGTTACCTCATAACAGCAGATAGCCAACATTTACGTAATGTTTTGTGGCACAGGAAGCTCTTTGGTATGGTTTTTTTTCTTTTCTACTTAGGCAGCCTCATGAGGTGGGAGTTACCAAAGCCTTGCTTCCAGAGAACATGGAGCCCAAGGTTCTTGGCACTCGCATCAAGCTGCAGAGCTGGCTCATCAGGACTGCTTCTCCAAATGCCATATATCACTTATCCTTGACCTGTATCTTATGGTTTAGATCCTTTCATTGAATTTACATTTTATTGAGAGCAAATGGAAGTGGTTTTTTTCCTGATCACAATATGGTGCTTGATTTAATGAATCAATGTCTATTGTTGATATTATATGTGTATAATATCTCTATGTATCTATTGCATGCAACTATGCTAGCGAACATATTTATTTAAAAGAAAAACATTTGAAGGCTTCTCTAATGTATTGATCAAGTGAATGCTATCTTTACTTAAAGGGTTTTTCTTTTCTTCTTCCCTCCTTCCCTTCCTTTGATATCACTCTGTAGCCCAGGCTGGCTTCCAACTCACAATCTCCCCACTCCCCTCTCGTTTAGTGCTGGGATCACAGGTGTACTTTACTACAGCCAGTGTATAAAGAATCTTGATATGTGTTGGCTGGAAAGTGTTTACCTTTTGGATTTGTTTTCCTTTTATTTTTTTCCTATATTATTTCACATGCATGGGTATTTTACTGCATGCATGTCTGTACCTGTCGCATCCCTTTCTTATTTTCTCTGGAGGGGTGAGACTATCGGCGGTCTAACAGGGTCCTCCTCCTTTGACGAAAGGCTGGGTAGTTTTATAGACTAAGTATTCAGAGAGTCATGTTAGGCAAAGTGAGAGAAAAAGATGTGAAACTGAGCTAGGAAGTCAGGTACCTTAGACGCGAACATCAACCCTGACTTCATTCTAGTGAAGTAACCTAATGTGTTTTTAAATGTGCCAAGGAGAGATAAAAGGGGAAATAGATTGAAATCTTACTTGAAACTTCCAGGCTGTATATACGTGGGGAAAATGACTTGGGATTAATTTTGTAAAGCATGAAATAGACATATTAATAAATAACTTGAAGTGACTAACAGAAGCAGCTATTAGATAGCCGCTTGGACATCATACTAGGCATGTTGGTTTGACACAGATTTGTCTCTGTGACAAACACCCAAGAAAAAGTTTAATGGAGGAAGAATTTATTCTGGCTGATGACTTCCGAGGTCTCAGTCCATGGGTGGCTGGCTCTCTGGTGGGGGTGTGTGGCAAAACAAAGTTGCTACCTCACTGCATTCAGGAAAAAGAGAAAATGACTGTGTTACAGGCTTCCCCTCCTCTTCCTCCTCTTTTATTTCATCTAGCCCCTGGCCTATTGGCTGCTGCAACCCATGGTAAGGACAGGTTTCGCCCCTTAGTGAATTCTCCTGGAAGTTCAACTCAAACTGAAGACTGAGATGCACTTCATGGCATACTGCAATGCATAGCTCCTTTCTGTCTCCCTTCCCTTGCACTGTGTGAAATGTCAGGTTTCTAGGGCCTGTAGTATCTCACCTGAGTGAAAGTAGCCTGGACCCAATAAGCATGATGCTCTGTAGGGGTGGGTGTAAAGCTATCCAGGCTCCAGCAGACACCTCCAGGAGTCATTGTAGCCCTTATCGTTTACCTTCCTTCATCTTCAATGGTTTGTATCTTGGCCAGGTGTCCTCGGTAACTTTGTACCCTGTCTCTTTCTTCTAGAACTCTGAAGGTGGACTCTATGTATGCATGAATACATTTTTGGCCTTTGGAAGGGAACACGTTGAAAGACATTTTCGAAAGACTGGACAAAGCGTATACATGCACCTGAAAAGGCACATGCGAGAGGTGAGATGGATCTTTGGAGAGAACCCTGCATGCTCCTCATAGAGAATTTACTATACCTCAGAACTCTGAATTCTCTTCACCAGGAAACCACAGCAGTTTGTAGATACCCAGGGTTTCCCTCCTACCCCAGTCTTTACCTTTGCCAGTTTTCTTTCTCTTCTTCTCAGCCACTGGTTGGAATTAAGAAGCTACGTGGCTGATTGATTGGAAAAAGTAATTTTAAGTTTAAAAATAGGGAAAAGTACAAACCTAATGCATCCCAGTGTTTTCTTTAGATGGGAGAAAAACTTTCTTGAAAGCATGGGAAGTGTACCAGTGCAGAAGAGAGTGACTCTCCTCTCCAGCAAGCAGTGTGTCCTGGAGAGCATATGCCTCACCTGCGCTGGGACTTCTGCTCTTGTGAAGGTCTGTGCAGGTCTTCACTGCTGCCGTGAGGTGATGAGGGCAATACCAAGCCAAGCCATGGCCCTGCTTCCCATTCTCCAGCTCTGACATTCTTTCTCTTCTTCCACCATGTTCCCTCAGCCATGGTGGTGAAGGGTGGATAAAGATGCCGTACTTCTGGGCACTTTGACTGGTTGTGGATTTCAGGATTGACCGATTGCACACTTCAGACTGAAGTTTCTTTGACCAAGATTGAGGGCAGTCTAGGTCTGTGTATAAACATGAATATTAGAAAGCAGTGACAACATGACCATTTAGCAAAATAATAATAGGGCCTATGACCTCCCCTAGCTATGGGCTTTTGACTAGGGTTACAGTATCAGGCATGAATTTCTCTCCTATGGAGCAGGCTTCAAATCCAAGCAGAAAGCAGTTAGTTTCCCTGTAATTGTCATGCCCTTATTGTACCAGTAGGTACATCTTGCCTGGCAGGTTGATATTTCCTCATGCAGGGTCCAGCATTCAATAAGACCAATGATTTCTTTGCTTTCTCAGAAGCTTATCTAGCCAGTGGGGAGGATGGTTCTTGGTTTGTTTGATTTCTCTATGTCCTGCAGCCTGATTGTGTGGCATATTCAGCAGTAGGGTCTTAACATGCAGTTATGGTGGTTGACCAAGGTCAATGGCAATAACCTGTGCTATTTTGGACACCTCTGGGGGTTCTTGACACCATGTTGTCTAGGAGTGGCATTGTCCTCTGATGCACAAGAATTGTGACTGAACTCTTTTTTAAGTTATATTTTGAAGTTAGCTTACTAATTGTGGGTTTCCATATAAGGCTTTTTAATACATCCTTTGTTTTGGGTTAACCCACGCTAGGTTCTGGGATTATAGCTGTGTGCTACAAGGCCAGTTTATGTAGTGCAGGGGATTGACCTGAGGGCTTTGTGAATGCCAGGCGTGCACTCTGTCAATGAAGCTACATCAGCAGTTCCCTCTGGAGCCCTTCATTCCCCCAAAGTGACCATCACTCATTCTCATTGTTACTTTCATGCATGTCATTATGTCTTAATGGCATTTCTGTATGGATAGTATGTAGTATGGCCTGTGTTTTAAAGATATGATTGCATGCCATTACACTTTGGCCTATGATTCTGCATAGCGCCTCACCTCTAAGTGTTGTTCTGGACTCCAGCCAGCTGAGATACCTGTGGATTTTTTTTTTACTTCATAATAAGAGATGACTAGTATTTTCTTCTGGAATAATTTTTAAGTTCCTTTCTTCTCCTGTTGCTCAGTGTTTAGATTGCTTGTGTTTGCTATGATAACTAATCCAACAGTGAACATTTTAACACATTTTCTATAGAAACCCTTGTATCAACCTTGTGAGAAACCCACCTAGTGATCCCACTGGCCTGTGGGTGCCAACCTTCATTTTTGTCAAGAGAAGACTAATTCTCCCCAGTGTGCTTGTGTCAGTGTGTCTTCCTGTCTAAGTGGTGAGGGATGTCTGTCTATCCACACCCTTACCATTCCTTGGCCAGACTTTCAATCTTTGCCAATCTAACGGCTGTGAAGTGACATAAATATATGTGGCATTTCATTCTGTGATGATTGACTATTTTCTCATGTATTTATCACCCATTTAGAAAATTATGATTATCATTGAATGTTATCTTAGTTACTTTTCTGTAGTTACTGTTCTATTGCTATGAAAAATACTACATCTGATCCACAAAAGGGAGAGAGAGAGAGAGAGAGAGAGAGAGAGAGAGAGAGAGAGAGAGAGAGAGAGAGAGAGAGAGAGAGCTATTCCCAGTGACACACCTCTTCCAACAAGTCCATATCTCCTAATCTTTCCCAAAACAGTTCCATAGGACCAAACGTTCAAATGTATGAGCCTATGATGATCATTTTCATTCAAACCACCACAGACAGATTTTTGTGTGTGTGCATGCATGCATGTTTGTAGAGGTCAGAGGACAACTTTTGAAAGTCAATTTTCTTCTTCTACCATGAGTTTCTAGAATCAGACTCATATGGCAAGTGCTTTTACCCACTGAGCCATCTCTGGCACCTTACCTTTTGTTACCACTTTTACTTTTTTTTAACCTTTTAAGTTTTCCAACCTTACATTTTGTTACCACTTTTATTTTATTGCATATTTATTTCATTGTTGTAGTGGGACATTTCTCTTCCACCTGCTGGTTCCAGAGCCTGAATATGAATTATAAATGCTTGGTTGATAGCTCAGACTTGTTACTAGCTAACTCTTACACTTAAATTAACCCATATTTCTATTTATATTACCTCACTTTTTTACACATCCCGCTTGTTCGGCAGCTGGCTGGCATCTCCTCTTCCTCCCAGAATTCTCTCTGTGTCGGGCTGTCTCACCCAATCTTTTCTTGCCAATTGGCCAATCAGCTTTTTATTAATAATGAGGGCAATGCACACTTATAGTGTACAAAGATTGTTCCATAGCAGATTGTTGAGATTGGTAGTTTTCAAATATCCATCTTCTATAGTTTTAATAATTTATAATAATTTATATCTTGTATCTTCTAAGTTAGTCAATTCTGGTTTGAGTTTTATTTAATTTCCCATGTCACCCTACCTGATACTCTGAGAAGTCACAGTTTCAAAAATCAGGTTTGAAATAATTTGATTGTGTCCTGCTATTATGTAGCTTACGTATTTCTGCTGTTGGGATGCGAGATAATTCTTATAAAGTTCAGGTCATTTTACATCTTAGTGTGAGGTGATGAAGTTAAAACTGAGGCCCCGGGAGTCTGCTTGGTCTTGGTATGGTGGGTTGCTAGTGACCTCATTTGTGTATTTCTGTATCTATGCTTTTAAGTTAGACATTCCACTCTTTGGTGACAGCCTCCACTCATTTTTGCCCTTTTGCTCGTGTGTTCCTATTTTGATCTGCTGTTCTCTGGGCTCTGGGCCTCTAGGCCTGTCACTTGCTCAGCTTGCCTCTTATGACTCATGGCTTAAAACACTGTATCAACAACAGTCTCCTTAACTGACCTTGTCTTAACAATGCTCCAGATGTTATCCAGTTGATGCATTGGTGCTTCCATGCACAAATGCTGGAACTCTCCCAGCACTGTGGGTTTTGGGATGATATTAGTCTATTTTGTATCACTATCATGAGGCAGCTCAGCTTTATAATGAAATGAGATTTATTTACCTCATAGTTTGGGGTCTGAAAATCCCAAAAGCATTGTATAGGTCCTAATTAGAGCCCAATGGAAGACTCGTACATATTTTTTATATAGTGTGTGTGTGTGTGTGTGTGTGTGTGTGTGTGTGTGTGTGTGTGTAAGTCACATTATGAACCAGGATACCACAGAGACTGGGATTCCACAGTTCCTTCTGGGGATAGACCCTGATTTTCCAATTGGCCTCATTTTTAAAGTTCTCACAATGCAAATGTCCAAATACCCAAGCAAATGCCCAGTACTGTGCAAAGGACCAAACTTAGCACATGAGGGGAGATAGGAGACACAATGTCTGAAACTTAGCAATCAGTACCAGAGTTCTGACCTGGCACTATCGTTAGGTTCCCTCACTTACTGTGTCCTCTCCCGCTCCTCTGAGTGGCCACTGAGCATCGGCTGCTTCCTCCGGTCTCTACTCTGGTTAATTCAGCTTTTCTTTCTTGGCTTCTTACCTCCAGTCTTCCCATAGAGCACTCCACAGAATGGTCCCTCTCCTTTCTATCCTGCTGTAGTTAGATTTTGATCTTCAATTGAAGCCTCTTAAAAAACTTTTCTCTTTTCCCAGTCACCACTGTGTCTCCTTTCAGGACTGAGGGAGGACCTAACACTATATCTGACTGAGCAATGCTGCTGGTCTTTGGAAGTGCCTGGCTTGTCAGGGAGAGCTTGGTTGCCATACCTGCTGGATACATTTTTAGGTCTGAATTATTTACATTCTAGGTATTTGAAGATTTGAGACTGTGTCTCACCCTCCTTTCTTCAGCATCATTCTTTGTTGCCTTCTCTTTTCTGATTGTCTTTTAAGCTCATGCCCTTCCTTTACTTTAGTCAGTCATCACCTGCCTTTCCTAGGATGCCATTTGGCTAGCCAGGCTGCCTTCTTTCTTTGAAGATGATCATCTTCATGTGTTCTCCATATCCTTGTTTTGCCATTCTAAGTGTAGGCTTCCAAGTTAATAGCTTCCTGGAACTGAATCTGACCTCTGATTTTCTTTTTAGGATCTCATAAGCTCCTCAGGTTCAGCATGCCAGACTACACATGATATTCTCTGTCAACACTGTCCTTTCTTGTGAATTCCAGAAATGCAGATAGTTTTGGGGTTTTGTTTTCCTTGTGGATCCTTCTGGTAACCAGGTCTCATTACCTGAACTTCCCACACAGCCCTGAAGCCCATCCTGTCCACAACCCCGCTATCATTGCTTAGTTCTTCCTGCTCCTGTGGTAGACTTGTCCTGTAGCTTGCTGATTCACCTTCCTTTAGACGTAGCTTTCACTACCACCCAGGCTGTATTACACCTACCCTGTGGTCTTTCTAAGTGGATACCACTGTTACCTGTGCCATCTGACCTGCCTTCAGCCCGAAGTCCAAACTCTTTAGTGTGATTACATGGTTCTCATAATTGGGCCCCACAGCCTTTTCAACCCTTTCTTACTGCATCAAATTTGTATTTTTCACATAGCTATTTCTGGAATGTACCACAATTTACTGCCTATGTGCATGTGTTCTCTACATATATGTGTTTTCTTTACTTCTTTCCTTACTTCCCTTTTACCTTTTGTATTCTCTGTAGTTAAAAGTATCCATTCATCCACTTATGCCTTATTCTATCCACCTGCCTATTCATCCATCTGTCCATCTATCTGTTTATCCATCCACCCACCCAAACACCCACCCACCCATCTGCCAGTCTATCCATTCATACACCCATCCTTTCATCCATTCATCTGTTTATCCATCTGCCCACCACCCACCCACCTATCCATTTATGAATCCACACACCTGTCCATCTATCCATCCATTAATTATCTATTCATCTACGATCCATCCCATACTAAGTATCTTTTATATTTGAGGACCAATGCTTTTCTTATATGATCAGTCCTGATCATGCCTCAACCTCCAGATAAACCAAGCATCTCCACTAATTATATTCTCTCTTGGACTTCTCTTAGTACTTCTCAGAACCCATTCTGCTTTCTGCCTGCATTCAGTTATCTTCTGTGTTGGTGAGCTTTTCAGGAGAAGACTCTGTGTTTGTTCCATTTGCTCTCACACGCAACCTGACAAACAGGCACAGTGTTTGTTTGCTAAGGGAGGAGTTTTAGTGCTTGAGCTCTGTCATAGGATCAGGAGCAAAGGTCTTCAGTTGTAAGTCCTATTGTACCCCCCACCCCCAGGGGGTGTTTCTAATCTGAGTCTGAGATTTGAACCTACCATCAGGGAGAGACACATATTCCAGCCAGTTTCCATGTAGACCCTCTTTTTCATTTTCCTCTTCCATCATGCAGAAATAGAGAAGGACATCTGTAGAGACAAGAATCTACAGTGTTTGTAGAGACAAGTGACCCTGGGATTGTGAAGTGAATCTCTGTTCCAGGTTTTGCTTTATCCCACTTTTTTTTTTTTTTTTTTTTTTTTTTGAGGAAGGTGAGTAGTAGGGAGGGGACAGAGGCGCTGGGATTATGGAGGAGAGGGATTCTAAGACAGAATACACACAGTTGACATTAGAGTTTGGAGAGCCATGTTTTTCAGCTGAGTGTTTTGAGATTGTTTGAGGAGAACTGTAAACCCATAGTAGAAGCTATAAAAACAGTATGAGAATTGCAAAGATGAGTTGGCTTTCAGGATCAAATAATAAAATGTGGGAAAGTAGACTTAGGACTCCCAAAACAAGAAGGGAGAAAACAAATACTGAGTACATGGCATGGCCTTAACTCATGTGACTGTGTGGAGAGGTGCTGGGGATGAACCCTGCATTTAATGAATCTGAATTCTTCTTAACACCCAGGAAAATTATATGTATACACACAAACACACACACACACACACACACACACACACACACA